ACTCTTTATATATATTGTTAATGCCTATGTCAAAAAAATATATATATATTTTTTTCCCCAATGCCCACCTGGAGAATGACCTAGGTCATACAGGCATCTGAAGGGCAGATTTGTTGATCACTCTTTCAGGAGCACCATATTAGGTGGGCCAGCGTTGATCCCACATTAAGGACAGATAGTACAGAGAATGAATCCATGCCTTGCCCGGATTCGAAGCCAGAACCTTTGTGATGCAAGGCCAATTCCCTGACCCCTACACAGGCCAGTCGGCAAAAAAAGGAAAAAATAGGGGGAAAAAACATATATATATATATATATATATTGTCATATTGACCAATATTGTCCAATATTGTCATAACATATCATAACATTTAAGCAATGTTATGTTAATTTGCATTAATATAACATTGCTTAAACTTAGTTCAAAATGTGTAGAATTCCGTAAAAAAATATTCAATGTGTTCTGTTATAACCACACCCTTTATAAAGATTGTTATAGCCTAGGTCAAAAATAAGAAAAAGGTATACACATTAGGTGTCACAAATAAATATTTAAGAAAAGAGGAAAATAAACTCTGCCGAGATCTGTTGAATCGCTAGTAAGAAACTCAGGATTGAAACATCAAAACGAGTTTGTTAGCCTGATAAAATTTTGAAGGGCTTCTATTATCTGCTTTTCAACTCTTGTCTGTTTCCTCCAATAATCAAATTGATTTTGATGTTTCTCTTTCCCCCTTTTTCGCTAGTGATAATTCTAGAAGTTTTAATATTTTTTCTCACTTACATGTTAATATGTGTCCCTTGATGCCCAAACTTTTTGACTTCATTTTGAGAAAAATTCCACAAATATGAGGCGTTGTCATTATTAAACATCCAGTCCTTGATTTTATTAATTATGTGAGCCTAAAATTCATATTCCTGAGTCCTAAAATTAATTTCTTTTTTTAAGAAACATGTTCTTTGTGGCAATTGCTTTTTTTCAGTCATGTGTATATTATAATTTTCATAAAAAAAAATGTATGAGTTCTGAAATATATTGATCATTGAAAAAAATGTCTGAAATCTGTGAATAAAATCTATGTTCTTCAAACTAATTTCAAGCTTATGGGAATATGACAAGCAAATAAATAAAGAAAGAAAGAATAACCTTGAACCAACATATTCTTCTATACTTATTTTTAAAAAAATGAAAGAAATGTAATTATTCCTTTGAGGACGGAAATGTTTTCTTACGTCTAACAACACCCATTTGTCAAACAGAATAAGAAAGATAGCTACCAAGCACGTAGAAAAATATAATTCATTTGTTCATATGGAATGATAAAAATGTTAGTCTCTGGAGTCGAAATATACGCCAAACCTTTTCTCTTGGGATAATCTTAAATATATTTCCGTTATTAAAGAAAAATAACAGCAATTTTATATCTTTAGAGAAGCAATGCAGTATTTCTCGCCTTCACGAAACATGTATAAGCATGTAACAATAGTATTTTGAGTTCTTTCTGAATACATCATTACTTATTGCCTCTTCACAAAGTTTTTAAGAAGGCACTATACCACAATGTTTGAAATTTCAATGTAAAACTGATAAAATAACAATTTCTTTAATTTTTATTTAACCATATTCTAACAACACAGTGAAATAACCATAAATAGATGGTATTCGAACAGTTAATTGTGAGAAAATCCGTTTATTAACTGAAATCACCCAATAAGGTTAAACAACCGGAATTTTATCGCACAAACTAGGCCCACCTAATGAAGGTACTTTTAATTCCTTGCAGCTGGATACGTATCATAATCGAGAGGGCAAATTTGTTAGACTCGTGACCTACAGAACGGGGGTTCGACTCCAGCGTTGACACTACAAGTATTTCTCCTACCCTTAAACACATGAATAGTTTACAGTATCCTAATCTCCCCAATTTGTGACCCTGAATTATTAGAATACGATACTCTCATTTACTCATAGATGGCAGCACCATAAGGCTGCTTAGCACCAAAAAGTCTACTATTTTGCTAGGTAGTATCATTTGATATTTAATTTTGTCTTGAGATACTAAATAATATTTGTAAAAAAATCGTTATCATTTTGAGTTTCTTTTAAAAAGTACTTAGAAAATCGCTTGAAACTTTCTGAAATTTTAAGATATTCAAATTGAATTTTCTTCATTTTTTCACAAATACGATTCACAACAAAACTATGACGCTACAAGTATATGCTTTTTTTCAGCACATGCGCAGTATAATATAACTAGCACTAGCATAATTACTTATATTAGTTTAAAACCAAACATTTTGAAATTAATTTTAAATTGCTCGATTAGTTTAGAATTGCTAATGCCAAATAAATAAATTAACTTTCGCCACGTAAAACAACTAGAAAAAGCATTAAACTACATTCCACGGGTCATTTGATGAAACACACTACCTAACCCCAATGCCTATTGCCTACCAAACAACCTAGCACCAATGCCCAGTTAAATTTCTTTTTGCGATTTTGAAACAATGCTTGTTGTAAATGATTAAAAAACCATATATTTTTGTATTCGTGATTTTTTAACCATACTAGTCGTAAACGGTTTCAAACCCGAACAGGTAAAAAATGTTCTTTACCGTAAATTTTATGGTCATTTAGATGAGCCGACTGCTGCCGGCTATTTTACCAAAATTTTAGAATAAAATTCTAAGAGTACATGGGAGAAACTTTACATGGCAAATTCTGTTTCGCATCGATTGATATTACAAAATTTAAAGTTTACAGAAAAGTAAATTCGGGTAAGCTTAGAGTAAGTGCGCGAAAAATATTTTTAAAATATTAAAATGCAAACAAATTTTAGCAGGATTACTTCACAATTAAGTAATCATGAAATTCTTGTTATAATTTGTATGCGTTTTGATATTTTGAAAAAATTATTCTCAGCATTTGAATTTTCAAGGTTTATATTAGTTTCTGAACTCACTTTTTATCCTTTAAATGTTAAATTAAATAAGTGAATGAGAATTTGCCGTGAAGTAATTCTCTTATAGTATAGTGTACTCTTAATCTGTGATCCATGGAACGCTATGAAAATAATCAAATAAACAATTGGCTAAAATTCTGATTAATGATAACAAGTTATGTATAAATGTGTGTATTGACGGAAGGAAATGAGGACTCAAACTTATTGTGTTTTCCATACTCAAAAAATTTAAAAATTGCTTGAGAATATATATAAGTTTTTCTGTGAATATGAACTATCATATATGGAAAAAGCAAAAGGCTCACTTTTTTTAAAAAAACATAAAACCATGCTCAAAATCAAGAAGTCCATTGCTCTTTCATCACGCAAACCGGTTGAGCAAAACGTCTTGAGTTCGAATTTTCCTCACCCTCTATTATTTAAAAATGAGTGTTTTATATTTACCCTAATGTTTGAGAGACTTCTCATGCGATGGTGAAAAAAAAAATTCAATAGTAAATGTCCAATATATTCCTTATCGGTCCAATATTTGGTTAAACACGTATTTATATACTGCCTAAATATCTATACACCCTTGTGCAAATTGATTGATACAAACTCAATAAATTCAGAAAACTAAGAGAAAATGCTATTTTATTTAAATTTATACAAACTCAAAAATTTTTAGTACATAATATGATCTCCACGACACTTTATTAACATTTGGACACGATTCGGCATGGATTCCACTAATTTTTCACAGTCATTTATAATATTTGTGTCCTTGTACCACACATGAATTAACGCCGTGATTAGCTTCTCCATAGTTGTACAGTCCATATTTAATAGGCGATTCCTGCATATGGCCCAGAGATTCTCAACTGGGTTGATATCCAGAGAGTTCCCTGGCCATTCCAATGTCTCAATTTGATTCTCAGACATGAATTTCATGACAATTTTGGACGTATGGCAAGTAGCTAAATCCTGTTGAAAAATCCCTGTCCCATCAGGGTATCGTTTCTTCAACTCTGGAACAACTTTTTTACCCAAAATAGTAATGTACTTCTCAGAACGCATCATACCGTCAATAGGCTGCAAAGGTCCAACCCCATTGTAATCGAAACAACCCCAAGACATCTTCTTTAAAAAACACGAAAAAAAAAGTTTGTTTCAATTAATTTGCACAAGGGTGTTGTTGAGGTTTGAGTTCGAGATTAGTTAGATAGTTTGAGTTTCCTGTGCTGGCAACATCTTATTGTTTTTATATTCTTTTGATGTAAATAAAAGTTAAGTTTTCAGTTTGTTCTACGTGACTTTCAGTCTGATTTGCTCTCAACAAAATCCAACATTTGGTGCCGAAATAACTCGGTAAGTCATACTGAACTTGTTACAATTACTTTCGTCAAAAATCTGAATTGGAATGGCTACCGGTAGGGAAAAACTTGTAATATTTAAACGCAAACGAACAACGCTACGTACCGCCATACGAAACTAACGACGAAATTGAACGATGCTGCTAGTGCACAAACTGAAAAGGAATACAACATTAAACGTTTACAAGATAAAATAAAAGAATTAACCTTGGCAGACGAGGAAATACATAATTTTTTAAATGATGAAGAATATCAGGAAGACATAATAGAATGCGAAAGATACACAGAATATGCTCATTTGGCGTTATTTAATTTCAAAGGAACAGCGAATCGGAACACAAATTCAATTCCTGAAACATCGCCAACAGCTGCCAATATAAATAATTTTTCGTCTTCGCCTTCAAATGTTACAGTAAAGTTGCCTACAATAAAAATAAATACGTTTTACGGCGAAATTGAAGAATTCCATAGTTTTTGGGAGCGTTTTGAAAACTGTATCGACAAAAACGAAAGTTTATCGCTGATTGACAAGCATGTTTTTTGCGGGGATATTTAGATGGAGAAGCAAAACGAATAGTTGATGGAAATAATATAACTGCAGAAACATATGCAACAGCAAAGGATATTTTGAAATCAAAATATGGCGATAAAGATTAAATAATACAGGCTCATCTCGATTATTTAGAAAACCTAAAACCTATCAAAAATCACTCTCCAGCAGCAATAAATGAATTATATATTGATTGTAATCGAAGAATACAGGCTTTAGAGGCTTTAGGAGAAAAAACTCAATCATACGGAAGAATTTTGGCTCCTAAAATACTTCGTGCTTTTCCTCATGAAATCTGTCGTAACTGGATTGTACATGCCAAACGTGAAAATTTTGGTGAAAGCGATATTTCAAAAATAATGAAATTTTTATCAGAAGAGGTCGAGGGATCAATTACTGCAAGTAATATTAAAGGTTCACTTGCTCCAGACTATCCTATTAAGTCCTCCTTAGAAAATTTTAACGTGAATTCTAAATCAGTTACCAAAAGTAAAATAATGTCACCCTTTTGTCCTTTCTGTGAAACTGTCGGACTTTGGCCTCAACAGTGCAATGTTGTAACGGACATAGACTCGCGCATACAGAAATTGAAGACTAGTAATAGATGTTTTTTGTGCACTAACCGAGGACATAACAAAAAAAATTGCCCTCGTAGAGAAAAATTTGTCTGTTCCAAATGCAAGAGAAAACACCATACATCAATATGCAAACCTCTAACCAATGAGCAGCCTGTGGCTACATCTACAAACAAAATTGATGTATCGCCTTCCAGTTTCGTTCATTTGCAAACTGCACGAGTTTTCATAACTGGGCCCACTGGCATTACAAAACTGACACGTTGTCTTTTGGATGGTGGAAGTCAATCTAGTTTCGTTTCTTCTAATCTTGTGGATACTTTAAAACTTCCAGTAATTTCAACCAGACATTTGGACATTCAAGCCTTTGAATCCCCAGCTAATGTTGGCTACATGCGAAGACAAGTCAAATTTCAGTTATCAAGTATCTGGGACAAATCTAAAGTTAATGTTACTGCATTTGAAAGCTCCAACAAATATGCATCACACCTACCTTCATCAACGGATGTTTCACTCTTTGCTAAAAACAAGCGAATGAAACTTGCTGATCCAGATGATTCATTGTCGAACTTACCAATTGAGATTTTAATCGGTGCAGATTACTACTGGATTGTTATGAATTCTGAAGCTCCAGTCAGGTTGTCGGATTCTCTGGCCTTGGTCCCATCAAGTTTTGGTTGGGTACTTAGTGGAACTCGATCACACGCAACAGTTTCCTTCATTTCAACGGTTCATAATGTTGATGTGGATACTTCAACTCAGGAATTAGACAATGTGGTACGAAATTTCTGGAACTTAGAGAGCATTGGCATACAACCAACACAAGAAAAAATAAGTCCTCACAACTCTGAACTCTTAACGAACTTTCATCAATCTTTTGAAATCATCGATGGTAGAAGAGTTGTAAAATTGCCTTGGAAACCAGAAGTTCAACTTTCGTCGAACAATTATGAAGTCGCAATTCAACGATTTAAATCTTTAACAAGGAAAATGCATGCAAATTCAGAATTCAAAGAAAAATATATTGAGCACATGCAAGATTACATTGATAAAAAACACGTTGAAGTTGTCTCAGAAACACATAATGAGGAAGGTTTATATTACTTGCCCCATCACGCTGTAAAGAAAATCACAAATGGAGAAACTAAGTGGCGTATAGTTTTTGATGCATCTTCACATTCTCCAGGTCACCCATCTTTGAACGACGCTCTTGAAGTAGGACCAAATCTTCTTCCCGATATCTTAGCCACATTGTTGAGATTTCGACTTTCTAAAATAGCAATCACTAGTGATGGGCGACAAGCATTTCTGCAGCTGATTCTAGCAGAAGAAGACAGAGATGCAACACGATTTATTTGGTACAATACTACATATACTCCTGATGGGAAACTCTGCACTGAAGATAAAATTGTAACCTATCGATTCACACGTCTTCCATTTGGACTCGTCTCTAGTCCATTTTTATTAGCAGCTTCTCTTCGTGAATTGGCTACAAAACACAAACAAGCATATCCTACAGCAACTAGACACATTGAGAATAACACCTATATGGATGATTTTGTATCCGGAACGGAACGTCTACGGA